ATCTCTGCACCTGGTTGGGCAGGTTGTCACAGAGCTGCATCATCTAGCAGGTCATCTAGCATCTAGAAGATGACTAGTTACCTGTTTTTCAAGTGATACACAGAAAATAAAATGTACAGGAAAGAAGTGAACTGCCATCAAGAACTATGAAACCCTCAGTTGCCATAACTGAGTCTATAGTATATATTTCAGGAGCACAGCAAAGAAGAGTTTCCAGAAAAAAAGGAAAATTATGTCAAGTGTATGAGACATGCACATATACTCAGGTTTGTTGCTCTCACATTTTAAAATACACTGGTTAGATGGTACCTCTTGGCAAAATCAAGGGCAACCTCACTGTCCTCTATATCATTGTCCTCAAATGAGACAATACTTTGAGTCAGGCTAAGAGAGAGGCTGAAAGTGGCCTGCCTTTGGGAAATTTTCATGTTTCTCATGATTCAATTGGAGTGGTTGTGTTCACTCTATCTGGAGTTTATCAAGGTTTCCTGTACCATCATCTGATTAAAATTGTCAAAATTTGAACATTTTAATGAGTTAGGAAATTGCTGGCTTTTGACAGTAAAAAGTAAAAAAATACTTATCAAATTCTTTCAAAAAATGACATCCTCAAATTCTTCTGTGTATTTCTTCATTACATATTTATTACTACTGCATTATTATCCATTACATGTCTAAAGGGAGAAGGATGTATCTATCTTGGGGTATGACCACAGGCACACACCCTTTACTTTGTGATATTATGCAGAAAGCATTCTCTCCTAACCTTGTCAGCTGTGAGTTCAGAGGGCTGGGCTCTGCAGCCCCTTTCATTTTGCTATCTTTGTTGCACGATAATCACAAAGAGCATTCCCCTTCTGAGAATGGGAACTAATATAGGAGGAACATACGTGTAAACACATACACACATAAAAAAACCACCATGTTACATCCATAAACATGTGCTTGTAGATAACACACACAGTGTGTGCCTATGTGTGTATACAACTCCACAGCCACACTTCAGGGAGCATAAATGCATTTCTGAATTGGAGTTTGGGGTCTCTAGACCTTTCCACAGCATGCAGCTCCGTGCTCTCTGCCAGGGATGATGGGAGGTTTGTACCTCAGGAGCCACAGTCATTGTAACTGAGCTGCAGCCCACACTGTCTGCTCACATAAGTTGGAATCGCTCCACTGCAAGTCAACGGAGCTGCAGCAATTTGCGCAAGCAGAAGAGCTGGCCCAATATGTACTAGTTGTTTTACATTCTGAGAAGACAATGTTCATAATTGAAAGTAATACCAAATGCTCTTAGCAAATTCTATGAATTATTCAGATTAAATATAGAGCCTTCAAATGACTCTATAAAATGTTCTAAACAGCTGTGCCTTGTAATTGGAACTGACTGGCAAACTGGGAACTAACTATTGAATGCAGTCTGAATTGGACTTGATACCTAAGTAAAATGAGTATAACACTAACCATATTCTAAAACCTGACTGGTTTTCTGCTAAATTTCTCTTCAGGCCTTTTCTTCCTTACAGATGCAGTAATTCTGTGTGAAAAAAATCCTGTAGGTCTGTGTTCGAAGTATAAGGATTGCAGGTTCTTTCATGTGCACAGCTCACACGGCAAAAATAAGGTAGATGATAAGAACAGGTTTGGAGTGGAATCAGTGACTTTCTATTATTTACATACACTTCAGCCCCTAGAATAAAGTGATCTTTCCTTTTCAGCTCTAGCTTTAATTTGCAAAAGATGGAAAGAATTCATAGTGGAAACTGATTTGAAAACAACTGTATTTGTGGCTATTTATCAAGGGCTTGTCTACCTAATTCAGAAAAACTACATCCTATCTTCAGAGGCTTAGATACCTTGTTTATATGATAGGTATTGGAAGACTCGTGCTTCATTGTCTGAAGTGGTATGTTTGAGTATCTGAAGTGTGAGGGTATTATCCAAAAGAGAAAAGAACAGAAAGTGCTCAGCATTTTTTGAAAACCAGATCCTCTAAAACATTTTAAAGTGGGAAGAAAACCTTAGAGGATGTTCACTCTTGTCATAAGAGCTAAGCTTAATTCAAATTGTGTCCTAGTGTTGGCTCTTACACATCATATTCTGTGTTTGCAGTATAGTTACATATACTTTTTATTCACAACTTTGCTAGCTTCACCCTGATACCTCAGGACAAGCCCTTTTAACTTGAACTACTGAAGATCTGTTACAACAGAGTCTATCCTGTAGTATCTTAAGGCTCTTCTCTCTGATTGGAGTGGGGCAAATACCTGTCCAGTGAATGTTTGGGGTAATGCTTGTAACATGTATTGTGTCTGTAGACAAGGCAGAATGGAACATGTTCTCTTTCTAGAGGAGAAAAGGCTTGGGAGAATCTCATCACTGTATATAAATATCTGAAGGGATGATATTTTCCAAAGAAGAGTGAGCCAAACTATTTTCGGTGGTGCCCAATGACAGAACAAGAAGCAACAGGCACAAACTGGAACATGGAATGTTCTGCCTGAGCACAAGGAAGCACTTTTTTACTATGAGGGTGACCAAGCACTGGCCGTGGTGGCCCGTGGAGGCTGCAGAGCATCCAGATGGCTTTTAGATGTTCAAAAGCCATCTGGACAAAGTCCTGGGCTACAGGATGTAGGTAGCCCTGTGTGAACAGGGAAGTGGGATAAGTAGGCCTCCAAAGTTCCCCTCCAACCCCAACCATTCTGTGATTCTGTTAAAGTACGAGGGCAGGTTTGCAGTGCTCTGCACCATTTCTAGTGACTGAGTGTGATATTACCTGTTAAAAGCAAAGGCCAGCCAGCAATCATCTGATGTTCATGTATTTTTAAGAGGGTTTTTTTGACACTCACATAATCCTAGGACATTTTCTCCCAGGTCATCAAAACACATGATTTCTCTATCATAAAGCTTCCAGGTTAGACATTATTTCAGCAATTCAGTGTAAATGTCACACTCTGCTGGAGACATATTCCCATTCTTTGGCAAGAACACTGTGTAAGGCAAAGAAATTAACAACATGAAAAACAATGAAGGAAAAATGTTGGCAGCAACTGCACTTCTTTTTATTTTTTTTTATCCCCACAACTGCTGCCTACTAGCCAAAGTAGATGGTGAACAGTTTGGAAGATGTGTACTATGATTGCTTTAGGAAACAAACAGACCCCAGGGCAGATTAATAATGAAATAGCTAATGCACCCCTTGAGAAAGAGGTACCTTCTGTTATTTTATTTGACTGATTTTCCTGAAATGTCTCTTATTTCAAATACTTCCAAAACCTTCAGACAACAGACCTGTGGGCAGGGTGTGAACAACACATTGCATCATTTTATTACTTACAGTACTGACAAAGGGCCAATCTATCTGCCCAAATTTCCAGAATTTAGAGGATTTTCAATAGAATAAATAAAATAAAGGTGCAGAAATGGAAAGTGACCTTAATGTATTGATATTTATGTGAGATTGATATCATGCTTTTTTGGAAATTATTTAGGTTCTCATTGACATATTCAGGTATCTTAAACCTATAAGCATCTCAGATAACACTTTAATTTTTTTCTCCTTCACCGCAACATTACAATTATTTCCACGGCGTTGGATCAATAAAAGAAATTGAGAGTTAAATCTCATTATTTCAACTGAATTGTATTCCTTATTTGTAAGATAACCACATTTCTGAGAGTACTGTTGTGTGCAGCAAATGCACATAGGACCATATAATCAACATCTAATTAGGCCCACTTCATGTTATATTTGCTTAATTTTAAATTTCTTGCAGCTATAATTTTTTCCTTTAGCCATTATGGCAGTTGAATTTTAATTACATTACCAACAAAAAGCTCATTAACATCACGTAATTGGCAGCGTTTCCAAAAAAACCTGAACTAATTGAGTATTTTCTGAAGAGTTCCCATCAAAGTATAATTTAACCATTACAAACAGCTTGGCAACTACATTTGCATAAAGATGTATCTAAGGAATGTTCTCATGTGTGGAAAATCAGATTTGATATTGCCATTAACAAACGAAGGAAGCTGTTACATAGCAAATCACTTCCACATTTTAATTATTTTGGCCAAACCCCATGTTTTTGTCAAGAAAGTCAAATGAAACCCCTTGCTTTTCCACGAAGAAGCAGCAACTGGTCTCTCACTGAGAGTTATGAAGCAGCTTGCTTTGTAACAAGGCAACACAATCTATTTTAGGTTATTTTGCACTCTCAACAGCTAATAGCAGAGGTTGTGTCAGAAAGACTATGGTTCTTATGCAGAAGACTAATTCAGAATTTTTTAAACACATGACCAAGGAATTGTTTAACCTACAATGGATCTCTTGCTAATTCTCTTGTTAATAGTCTTATATTATGACAGGACTGATTTAATTACTAATTAAAAGAATACAAGTATTACAATCATTATTAGCTTCCACTATTTTTTAAAGACTCCCTAAAATAGTTGTACTAGAAACAAAGCAAAGAAAGATTGCACAATCCTTTGATCCTTCCCCTCCAGTCTGGGATGAATAACACTGAGATCAATTTGAATGCTGAGGTGATGATTAGAAATTAAAAACAGGTCAATATGGCTCACATTCTTTGAATACAGGTGAAAAACCCACTGATATATGATAGTTATCATAAGTGTCCTGCTTTCATGCTTAAACCTGAACACTGAAAGTTTTGCAGAATCAAGGTTTCAAATATGAGTTGAATAAAATTTGAACACATTCAATCCTCTCAATAAGTATCCAAACTTCAGTGTTAAACATTGTGTGTTCCTATCTCTTGGATTCTTTACAAAAAGTTGGAAATAAATTTTGAGAAACTGGGTCTTGTTAGGATGCTAATTAGGTACTTGCACTGCTTCCTTTGTCCTTTCCCATTTTAAGGTTCTAGTTAACAAATGCAATTATATTAATCTGACAGTGGGCATTTGCAATGAACCACCTTTCTTGGACTGCAGAATGTAGTTTAAACAAGTTCAAGCAAGTCAACAATAGATTTACAAGATACTTTACAGTCTGATTTTATTTTTTCTGCCAAACAGGTATCAAATGTGTCAAAACATTTGTTACAATAACATTTGCTAATATACAATATCAAAAGTGGATGTAAACATCAAGTTTAAAATTTCAAAGTTCCTGTGATCAATTCACCTGAACACTATACAACTTGGGCACTGCTGTCTTTTCATTCTCCCAAAGATGTCTCAGATGCCATAGCATACTCTGAGTTGCCCACTTATTCTGACAAAGAAAAGCATTGTTTGAGGAAGTGGGTCATATGTGTGTAGAGATGTTTGCTGGAAAGGCCTGGAATTCCATGGTTCTGATCAGTATACCACTGAAAGAAAAAGAAAAAAATAAACCCCTTATATTATGTTTTAATTTCTGCAAGAGTTAAACAGTATAAAAAATGTATTTTGTTGCTACACATAAGAAAGTGGATGGCTCAATAAAAATGAGGAGACTGATAATTTTTTTTCATCACTTCCTAATATATTCTTATTCTTGCTGAAAAAAAAAAAAATGTTTCTAAGCCTTCTGTTATTGAAGAGTTAGCATTACTGCCTCAGTACTTACAGGCCAGTTGTATCAAGTCAGGCAAAAGAGCCTTAAGATGCCGTTAGGGATGGAATCCCCTTGACCTGCTGCATGGCCTGGGTAATATGGGTAAGAGTCTTGCTTAGGAATAAGTACTGAGCTCTAAGCAACAACATTTCAGCTAAATGTTGTTTGAGTTCTATTCAAAACATCCTGCATTACATCAGGGCCATGAACCTTGTGAGTGATGATCTGGAAATGAAACACAGATATGAATTACGCTAACTCAGAAATATCTGTAACTGAACCAGAATGACTACAACTGCATACAGTATTCCAGATACTTAAGATACAACCCAGATTTGCTAGGGATCAGCAAAGGAGGCAGAAAAGGTGTAATGCATAAAAAGGCCTATAAACCCCTGTTATCCCTTTTCGGGGAGTTCATAGCCCTGTGAAACCGGACTCGGGCAGAAGATCAGTACGTTTGATAGCAAGCACACTTTGGTTATTAGCCCTGAGAGAAATGATTTGGAAGCAGAGGTTAGCATATACATCAGATCTACATTTCCCCTATTTATTTCTCCTTTGTATCCTGCAACCCCTTGACTACGTGTTTCTCTCTCTGCCTGTGCCTGCTATCCCATGCAAGCTTTTCAGAGAACATTTTTTGCTGATTCTAGATATATATTTGGATATCTTACACCCTTTTTGCTTGTTTCACTTCTTGCCTGTGGCAGGCAAGTCCAATTCCAGATAGAATCTATTACAACTAGTGACAATTCAGTCCCAGAACTCAGCTCTTTCACCTCCCTCTTTTAGCTGGTATCAAAACCACTTATAAGGAGGCTGAAATCTTATTTTTCTCCCTGGCTCATTTTAAAAGCCTCCAAGTTATTCTTGACAAGAGGAAAATCCTGCTAGCATGCAAAGGGCAAGGAAAAAAAAAGAGCAGACAAATCATTTGGGGAAGAAATTGAGAAGTTGTTTATGAAGAATAACAAATGCACTAGCAATTGCCAAATTTTGAAGCATGTTCAGTTGAACAGGGTAGTTAAAAACACTGCCAAATGTCAGATAAGCTTATTGATAAAGTTATGAACCACTTTTCAAAATGAAAAATAGTCTATTATTTACCATTGCCTGGAAATCCACCTGTGCATTAACCAGAGCTTTTGCAATTTGTGCTGAGTTCTGAAAATGTACATTATCTAAAAAGGAAAAAAAGAGAGATTGTTGAAATATGTTACTACCACAAAGCATAAAGTTATAGTGCATTTAGCTGTGTCCACTAATTATCAAGTGATACAGTTGACATTACTAAGAATGAGTAAGCATCTTATGATAGGTCATATGGAAATCTACCAAAGATCTAAGACCTGACCCAATCAAAGATAGATGCTTAATGTTTTTCAAACAAAGTGATTCTGGCTCTGTGTTTGTTCTGCCATTTGCAAACCTCACCATCTGCTGTTCCATGGATGAGAAGATACTCTACATTTTGGAAATTCTTTGCTCTTGCCATCACAGTTGAATTCTGTTGAGAGGAAAAAAGAACAGTTCAGCAACTTCAATTTAAACCACTTATTTATAGTGCTAAAAGGCTTTCATTAACTAGTAGAAAAACAATCACACAGGTGAACTGACATGACAGCAGTGACTTCATATCAACCAATCTGAGATTACAATAGAAACCATGTATATGGCTGTATATGTATGTGTGTGTGTATATCAATATATATCTATATATATCTATATATATCTATATATATCTATATATATATGCAGATATATAGATATGTATATATCAGAGGGATCTGAACAACTTAAATCAAAGACCCAAAGCCAGTTGTCTGAGGTTCAACAAGGCAAAGTGCCATGTCCTGCTCTTGGGTCCCAACCACCCCTATTCAGCACTAGGGCCATGTGGAAGGGTGGCTGGAAATTTCTCTGGTAAAAAGAGACCTGTGGGAACTGGTTGAAAACAACTGAACATGAGCCAGGGCATCCACAGGTAGCCAAGAAGGCCAGAGCCATCCTGGCCTGTGCCAAAAGTAGTGTGGCTAGCAGGACCAGAGAAGTGATCACCGCCCTTACACACCTTGAATACTGTGTTCAGTTTTGGGCCCAAGAAAGACACTGAGGTGCTGGAGTATATCCTGAGAAGGGCAACGGAGCTGTTGAGGGTCTGAAAAGTGAGAACTCTGAGGAATGGCTGAGGGTGTTCAGCCTGGAGAAGAGGAGGCTCAGGAGGGACCATGACATTCTCCATGACTCCCTGAAGATATGTTTTAGCCAGGTGGGGTTGGCTTCTTTCCCAGGCAGCAATCAACCAGACAAGAGGATAGCCTCAAATTATACTGGAGGAGGTTTAGACTGGATATAAGGAAAAATTTCTTCATGGAAAGGGTTGTCAAATATTGGAACATGCTGCTCAGGGCAGTAATTGAGTCACCATCTGGGAAGGTATTTAAAATACATGTAGATGTGGCACTTGGGGACATCGTTTAGTGGTGCTTTTGGCAGTGTAAGATTAATGGCTGGATCTGATGATCTCAGAAGTCTTTTCCAAACTAAATTATTCTGTGCATCTGTGATCTGTGACTTTTTCTTCAGGACAGGAATACCTATAAATAAAAACTGTTTTTTTCTTACATAATTTGTATGTGTTCTGAAAAGCACCAGAAAAAAAATTAATCTGCACCATATTGATGATATCTGTCCATAAAAGGTCCCTGTGTAAGCTTGGCTTGCAGCAGGTAGCTTTCTGCACTGTGACAAATGTCTCTACACTGTCAGGAACAGATTTGATATTTAGTTTCTTTTCTAAGGGCCAATTCATACAAAGAACAGCACTAGTCATGTCATTCACAGAATGCTCTAGTTCCTGGCTACCCAGACAGCTCCACCAGGGCTGTTTGGTATTGAGCATTTCTGTTCTTCAAGTTGGGATGGAAATACATACTGAGAACACAATCCAAATCTTTAACAGGAGTGTTTCCATTAAGTTTTTTGGATGCTAATTCAGGCATTAAGTTTTTTGGATGCTAATTCAGGCCTCTCTGTATCCAGAGCTGGTGTGTGTGCTGCTAGAGGAAACTACAGACTTCCTACCAACATGAAGAAAAGAATGGCAACCTGTTCTAGGTAGGGGAAGCTGCTCTGATCATTTAGTATCCTTATGATCTTATTAACAGAGAGCAAAATTTGGATGAAGCAGTTTGCATATCTCAGCTAATAGTACCAACCAAAACCTTATTAACATCAACATTTTAATCTTTCTTACTTCAGTTCTTTTCTAGGCTAATGGTTTGCACTGGCAAAACAGCCTGACTTGTCCAAGTACGAAAATAAGGACTTCCATTTAGCATTTTTGGGATTTATAAATACAAAAACACAATTAATTACGGAGATAAGAATTTCATGGCAGTAGCTTTGCTGCAAAAGAACTGTACCATAAGAGCTGGTGGGCCACTTTCTTTCTGCACAGTTCCACTCATCCATAGAAGTGTGATTCAAATTTAAGGCAGATTGGCACAGAAACAGAATTCTCACCTTATAGTGCTCAAGATTATCGGACTTTGTAGGAAGACCCATAAATCGTTCTGTGTAGATCGATGCTGAAATTAAAGAAGAAAAAAAACTACAGATAAAGAAAGTGCAGCTATTTTGTGGCTTCAGGGACACATAGGAAATTAAATGATGTTTAACTATGTCTGTTCTTCGTTTCCTCATAACACACCAAATTTACACATATTTTAAAAATCAGCTATGAAGGCTAATTATTTACTGTTCTCCAAACCATCTTTGCAGAAATAGTGGTTTTATACTCATCTAGGTTTTGGATAAAGGTATTTAATTAATATGGCTTTATGCTATTGGGTTGAGCTCCAGAAGCCAGTTGAATAATGCAATGAGCCAATAAAGGTTCATGGTGGAAAGATGACACAGACTAATTCTGTTACCTTAAAAAGAGGAGCTGAGGATTGTGTCTGTATTAACAGTAAATATGGATATGCATGTTGTCATTTTCTTATTCAATGTATATATGCCACAACTAGAGAGAGCAGGAAAAGATATGAACTGAAAAAATGGCCCCTTGTTTTGCATATCTCTATTAAATTCCTTTTTCTAACTAGAACAAAGACTGGTAACAGATTTGACAAAATAAATGTGAATAACTAAACAGTATCCATCCACCAAGAAATCAGTAGATACATTTCTCTTTGAGCTGCCTTGGTATTTGTACTTTAACTAGGAGCTGTTATGAAAATTTATGGAAAACTGACACAGCAGCTGCCACTACCAGAAGATTACTTTCTTTATGACCTTGCCTTGAAAGAGGAACTGACACATATTGAGCAGTGAAGCTGCAGTATTACAAGGATTTATTTATTTAAGGAAGTCAGAGCTTTCTGACAAAGAAGAGCTGTCATTTTTCCCTCTCAAAAGACAGGTGATGGCCATTGTAATCATTAAGGAACTGGAGTGTCTATCTTGTCCAGTTTGATACACTGTATTAGAAAAATATTGTTAAAAAATAGAAATGAGAATCATCCCAGGAAAAGAAATTGAATCAATATACTCTTGTTCCCATAGTTTATTATGTATCATTTACATGTGCTACCTCTGAAAGCTAAAGATGTGTACTATGTCTCCCAGATAAGCCAAGCAAGGCTTCTGAAAATAATTTGTAATATAAGTACCACAAAAATTAAAGTAGCCTATCTTTTATCAAAATTCTTTATCATTCAATGAAAACAGAAAATGTGCAATATCTGTTGTCAACACAGTGTCAAACAACCATATTGGGCTTAAGTTTTCAATAAAATAGACTTTCTGAGTGGCTGACATTTCTACAGTATTCTGAGCCAATTTTTCCACCCTCTTCTACCACTATAGCTACAACAAGTCCACAGAGGTCAGCAGAATTGCATTATAATGTCTAAGTGGAAGATTCAGCTTGTCAATTATTGAGGAAGGAAAAGCAGATGAATTTAAATAAATTTTAATTAAACAGTCATAGATATAATACTTTCAACTATACATTGTCCCTGAATGGAATCTTCCTTTCCATCTTATTACTGTTCAGCTCTGACTCAAAATGGATGGGGGTGGGATAATTTCTGACAAAAGATTATGGTCCAGAATCTCATCTGTGCATTTAAAAGAGGGTTGGACAGAATTAAGAAGCTCTAGAGGCCAGTACATCCTGTGACATACTGATACTACTCAGAAACTCAAAGATGTAACATCCTGTAGTTTTGCCCCTAACACAGTTCACCCTAATGTTAACATGATCTGTTTGCCAAAACCTATGACTCATGACTTCCTTTTGTTTCCTTCCTTCCTTAGTGGAGGTACATTTGCCTGTTTTGATTTTATAGTGTGTTTGCAGCAAGATTCTTTAATTGCCACCTGAAATTCAGCTGACATAGAGATTGCAATGGTGCAGGTCTAAACTGCTTGAACTTAAAATCTTCATTTGAATTGTGATGCTGTGACAAATTTTTACAACTCGTATTTTATTAAGGGACTTTTGTGAAAGCAGTGCTTTACGCCTGCATTCTGGAAATAATTTTATGATCATGAGTAAAAATGTCTAAAAAATCTTCATGCCAGTGAAAACATGAAGACTATGCTTCCTGTGTCATACAAATATTTTCCCCTTTGTTTGCAAAACACCATAAATACAAGGAATGTCTGTGCTAGCAGTCAGGGAAGGAATCTTTCCCATTTAACCAAAAATTTTTCTCATAACCAAGACTTAGAAAACGACCATATGCTAAGTAAATGTGTTCAAAGTGCTACATTTTACTCATTGAAAATATTCATGCCATGATTTTTTTTTACACTGAGGTTCCTTAACACCATGCCAAAAGCTTAACAGGTCGGCAAGTATGAGTATGTGCCTGCTTTATTCACACAGGAAGGCCTTGGGAATATACACCCAGTGTTGCTTCCTCTCAACAGTTTGGAGCCTAATTCCATTAACCTAAATAAGGATATGTATTGTAACACAACAATACAGGTGTGGCTGAGAAACATTTAGAGGGAAAAGTATTTAATTAAAAAAATAATATATTGAACATAATAGTCTTTCTCTTTTTCCACTGCTTTTGGCAAGCAACTTTTCAGTCATCAGAAATACTGATTCCTGACACAGGTCATCTGTGGTTTCAGAAGTTGAAATTTACTATGATTCTGTTGCTGGCAGATAAATTAGTGCAGCTGTTTCTGAATTCAGTGATAATGCTTTAATAGGACTTTAAGGCAGATCACTCTTTAAGAGCTGTTTATTGAGAGGGCTTTATACGCTTGCTATTATAGAAGTGCATATGGAATTATCCAGACATACCTTCTTTGTGACAAAATCAGTTCCAAACTGCCAGTTGCACTCAGTTATTTTCAGCAAGAAAAACATTAAATTTAAGGTCTTAAAAGTTTTAAATCTAGGTAATTTGAATGTCTTTATGTTTCAAATTGCCAGTCTCCTGCAATGATTTAATTTAAGAAGTCATTAAATGCTACATCTTGCTTTCCAAGTCAGTATTTATGACAAGTTTCCATACCGTAATATTCCCAGCTGGAAACAGGAGCCACAGCCACTCCACATTTAAATACTCCACTGCCAGATCCAAGTGCCAAAGAAGTTACATAGCCACCATAGGACTAGGAGGAAATCACAGACAGTTTAAAATTACTGGTGAAGTATCATTCTGTTTTCTGAATCAAACTCATACAAACTAACTCCAAATTAACTAATTTGCTTTGCACGCATGGAGGACAATGTAACAAAAGGTTGAGAGTTTTCTGAAATTTATTTATTGATATCAAATGGATCTGATGGAATTTCTTGTCAGAGAGATTAGAAAAATTTGTCAGTTTCTTTTTTTTCTGCTTTTTCAATGTTTATCACTGCTTTCATTACCACTTACAGTCAGAGAAGAAATTTAATTTCATAGCATCCTTCACAGCAATCTAATGCAACCTATAGCTCAAAACAGGGCTAACTTCAGATGGAAATTATACTGCTTGCAATCTCATCCATAGTACACATCCTCTCCACTCCATCTGCTTCAACAGTGATCAATGTTCTCATAATTTTTTCCTAAAACCAAACAAAAACTTTCCTTCTAGCAGCTTGTTTTCATTGCCTCTCATCCTTTCAAGATGCACCTCCAAGAAGAGTTAGAGGTTTTTTCCCCCTCCCTTAACAAACTATCTAGGTTTTGCTAAACATTAGCATATTGAATGAACTCAGTCATCAGTACTAATGCACTCATCTAGTTCAGGATGGAGCAATTCCTTCCTATTGCCTGCCATCGTTCTCAGTATTTTCTGGCCTGATTCTTCAAATAGGGATCCAGAAAGGAAGAATAAGATCACAGCCGTAAGAAGGGCAAAGCAGTAAGTAAGCCTGGATATAAAAATAGATCTGTGAAACTCAATGGGCTAGTTGCTGAGACAGGAAAATAATGTAAATAAAAAACTTTTGGTTTGGCTCTCTACAGGATGTGGAACTGAGGTTGGAAAAACTCATATAAGGTCTTTGCAAAATAATGGGTTTCTGTTTACTTTGGAATGGAGGAAGGGATAAAAATGTGGTGTGTCATGAAAAATTCTGAAGATTACTTCAGTAGCATAGGAAAGACTAAGGGAAATAAGCAGAATTATTAAATATTTGTTTTTTGTACAGAAGTTAAGTTAGTCCATCCTCTTAACTTTCCAGCTTGAAATGATAGTGAGGGATATAGTAGTAGAAACAGTAATTAGTAGACTTTTCCAACTCCTCTGATTTGCTCATTTGATCTTTCAAAAAATCAGTCCACAAGGCTAAAAAATAAGGGATTAGGATTGGGCAGACAAATATATTCACTGTAACAGGCCAAGAGAGAGAGTTCACAATCCAAATTACTTTAGTAGTTATTTAAGAGCTTTTGCCATCTTGAAAAGTTTGTTGAGTATGAAAGCACAAGTTCATGCATACTCACCAATCTGGAGCCTATAAATAAGGAAACACCTTTCAACCCATTTCAAAGCTTTCAGATCAAGAAGTGGTATAATAAATTGGAAATAAATCGGAAATAAATTGGAAAAAAAAGGCTGATAGGTTTGGCAGTAGTGCTTTTATTTTAATATTGTATCCACTACTGGAATACAATGTGTCCAAGCTATCAGCTGTTTCTGGAAACACTGGCGAAATAAAATATGATGTGATTTAAAAAGAAAATATTTTCTTGAGACCTTGAATTACCTAATGTCTAATTAGAATTATTCACTTCTAAACGTCTGTGTCATTTAATTTCACCATATGACATCCATTTTATTCTGGTGTTATAATAGTAACTGTACAAAAATAACTTAAATATTGGTTGGTAGAAACTTCACAGAAAGATTTTAGCAACTCTGCTCATGTGCTCTCTCAGATGAGGCAATATATCTGGCTATTAAAGTTTCTGGGAGCATTAAAAGGAGAAATACATGAAAAAAGCAAAGATGAATAATAGACTGGTTAATAATTTGGAATGACTTCCATACTGCCCAATATTTCCACATCTTGATGAAGCTGTCTGTTGTAAACCCCTCAGATCCAGATTCATGCCTGATGACCATTGCAAAGCCAGCCAAGTACACAGTGATTCAGGATGATGCAGGGGTCACATTTTCTGATGAGAGATAGTCATAGGACTTTTTCAACTATTTTAAACTCAGATCAGAAAGGACAATACTTGAATTTTGACAGTAAGTCCCTAAGTTAAAAGTAAAGCAAATTAAAATGTCATAATTTGGCTTAACTTCCAGTCCAAACAATGTATTAGACATGAGCTTTTCAAAATTCCCTCTTGAGCTGCTACAGATTAATTTCTGGGGGCTTGAACTGTTGCAATTGCATGTCTATAAGTACCAGCAGGAACCATTCCCTTTTGCAATACCATCATACATTTGCAGAAGAAATTTTATATATGCTTAAGACAGAACCTGGAAGAATAATAAAACAAAATTATATTGCAGGATTATTTAAAGATAGATATAAAAACACCAAGCACTTACCCAGCCCCATATTGCTATTCGTTTCTCATCAATAAAGCCCATTTCTATAAATTTTCTGCAGAAAATAAAATCACAGAAATATATGCATTATTATAAAAAAATTGCCAGTACAATAACAAATTAGCAAAAAATAGTTTTTCTTGCACTTTTTTCCACACATCCCACCAATTTGAGCAAACTGACAATCAACATAGCATGCCTGATTTCTACAAACCATCAACTATTCAATCAATAGGTGTTGAAAGGGAAGAGGAAGAACTTTTCCTGAAAGAATTAAAAAATACTGAAATCAATACTTCCATAAAAACAATTTTTATTCCACTGGATGAGGATCATTTTCATTGCTTTGGTGCTAAAGGTGCTGGATTACCATTAACATTCAGCCTTTATCATGCAAGATACCCAACATACTGATGTCACAGTGAGTTAATACTTTGATTTCTCAACAGGAACAGTATTGACTTCTGAAGAGATTAAGGATGCCCTGGAGAAATAAGCTTTTTTATTATGTGCCTGAAAAGTAAAAAGTTCTTATGGCTATTTTAATAAAAAATAATAATAAAGGAATCATCTAGTAATGCTCCAAGTAGGTAATAAGCTTGAAATGTGTAAAAGGTACAAAACTTCTTATGCTCTCATGAGTCAAAGAGAACCATAAATATTAGGTCTCCTACAAATATCCTGCATCAGAGTATGGAGACTGTATTTCTAAAGATGTAATAGCGACAGCAAAGAAAAGAGGATAAGGCAAAAGACCACAAGGGGCTGAGAGTGACAGGTAAGCACAATAGGTTCAGCTACACATCAGGACACATAGTAGCCTTATTTACTAGGACAAACCCAAGTGATTGACAACACCCAAAATGTGGAATACTATCTGGGTGGGACAGAGTTAGAAAAGCCAAAAAATTATTCAGTTTTGTTATATTACTTAATCTCTGGGGCTCCACCTACAGTAACAGCCCCTCCAAGAACTTCCCACTAGAGTATAGAGGCTCTTTAAAAATCATGCATCTTAATCCATGCGTTAGATCAGGAAGATGGAATGCACTACATTTAACTGAATAAAAAATTAGTCTAGGTGCTGACAGAAAAATGGGAAGTGTGAAGTCTGAGGTCATTTTTTCATGGCCTGTCTCAGCAGATTTTGCAACTGCAGAATCAGTTTAGGTTTTCTCTGATATTCTATGTCTGAGTGATGATTCAGAATAACACAGAAGCATTCTTCTGATATTTTGAAGTATGCCACTCCTCCTAAAAGTTTCAAGATAGAAAATAAAATAATAGAATAATAGAAAAACTTGACATTATATACAGCTATTCTGTTTCATTTTTCACTTGAAAGGATAATGGCACATTTATATTAATAACATTGAGTAGGATATGAATTATCACAAAGCAGAAAGAGGAAGGAACAGATATCCTTCTCACACACAGGCAGTGCTCTCCAACAAGCAGAGAAAGCTGTGAAAACCTGAGTTTCTACATCCAATTTTCAGCTAAGATACTTGAGTATCTTCCTCGAGTCTGGAGGAAATAGGGTATTTACTGTTGCACCTGGAAATCTATCCATCAATCCATCTCTGATCTCTCTGAAATCTATCCAATCTATCTCTGATGGGCCAAATTCCACACCAAAGGCTAGGCTAAACTCTTGCCTTGCAGTCATCTCTGTGTGGCTCAAACACTTCTTCAAATGCCCACTTTAGCAGTGCTACTGTATCTGTAAAATTAACAAGACAACCTTTCTTTGCAATCCTCATCTTTCACTTTCTCCCAAAATCTCTGCATAGGGAATCAGTTTCCCTTGGAACAATTTGAAGTGTTTTCATACAAAGGAGCAGCTGTTGGGGAGCACTTATCAGGAGACCTCAGGGACTTCCTCTTCTTAACTATCCTAAAACAGCACAGAATGCAAGTTTGACTAACTGACCTGTAGAACATTTGTGTCGGTTTCAGTTTCGCTACAAATTTCTCATTTGACCTTCAGCTAATCAGTGAAGTAAATCCCTATGGATCTCTGGCTAATCTCTACAGTCACTGAGGTAGGCTTGCCCTATAGGAAATAATTTCAGAAAAATAGATAACTGGCTTAACTTTCACCATTGACAATTGTATTTCTTTAGGCTTACGATTGAAACCTCTGATGATTCTCTTATGCAATACAAGTGGTGAGGTCCAATATGGACTTAGTGATATATGGACTTAATACACCAGACAAAACCTCACTGACATAAGCAAAAGCTAATATTTTATTTTTACAAGTGTTTTTGTCTTATATCCTGGAGACCTCAGGTCTTCAGAAGAAAGGCTGAGAATTCAATATCTCTTTCGCCTTACTACTTAGTGTGCAAATACAACAGCTATACAGGGAGATAATCTACTTACTTAACTGCTGAGATTTGGTCCTCAACTTCATAGACTCCAAGTCTCCGATATACTGCATGCAAAATCTTGTCACCTTGATAAGCTGTCCCTCTGCCATCCACCAGAGCAACAATAATTCCCTCTTTGCTTGCAAGATACGTTATCCAACTAATGCTAAAGGTTTCCTTTACATTCTGACTGCAAGGTCCTCCATACCTGAGAAAGAAAATTCAAACATTTTCAACTCGTACTTACAAATTTATAAGTGGTTATTGGACATGACTATAGCTATTGACACTGATAACATTTCCTCTACATGTATTTTGCTAAATGACTGTGGTTCAGAGAGCTCAGTAGACAAACAGTTCTACTTCTATTTTCAGTTAGTTATGAGATTTTGCTATCTAAAATCCATTTTAATAATTTAGGTCTTATCTCTAAGAGAAATAATTAGTTTCAGCTCAGACTAAGTGGTGCAGTATCAGCTGCTTGTCCTAAGGGGAATCCTTGGAAAAGCCATCTCTCAAATACTCAATTCTTTGTTCTCTCCAAATTCCTTAGGAGTAACATCCCTTTTTTGTGCTTTTTTGCTTTTTTGCATTTGATTTCCACATGCAGTCAGTAATGCCAAAAAAAGAGCAAGATTAAGAAATACAGCTCCTTACACTTTTCAGCTATCCCCAGACCTTACTTGTTTCAGTAGGAAATATCATGTGCTGTTGGAACTGTGGGCAGAACATACCCTGCATTGCTGAGCAGAGACACTCCTCATGAGAATGGCCTAATGCAAATTACACATTTGACCTCAAGGACAGGACTCTTCTACTCTAACCTTCAAACATACTTAGCATTCTTGGACCTTTGGATGATCACTGATTAATAAAAAATTATGCAATTGTTTATTACACCCACTCAGCTCTCCTTTCTGCATATTTTTTTTTTCATCACTGCAATTTTTATTGTTTTTCTGCCTGCAATAAATTATGTTAAGTGCTCTTAACAAGCAAGTCCACATGGCTCAATTTTCTTTTCATCTTAAGAAATGAAGCAGGCTCTTGCATTTTTTCATATTAGCAAAGCTGAAATCAATACTTTCAGATTGTCTCATGATAAACAGAAGGAGCAACAGAGCTAAGATCCACATGGAGTAACCCACATGATTTTAGCCTTTCTCTTTCTCTGAGAAAGTAAGCCTTACCATGCTAAGATTAACATTAAAATCCTTATCAATCTCCATTGTGATGAATTTCTATTCCAAAAATACACTGAAAAAACCACAACAAATAAAACAGAACCAAGTAGTTTTTCTTTTGCTTTATAAAATGTTGCAAATATCCCAGGTTTTGTTAAATTATAAAAAATATGTTTTCTAATAAAACAACAAGATTCAAAGAAAGAAAGAGTTACATACACCTGAATAAGAAGAGGGTACTTCATGGATCTATCAAACTGTGGAGGTAGAAGCATTTTGTACCACAAAGCTAGAAAAGACAAATTATAATTAGATTCTTAATGGTTGAAATTATTCCTTTGGGCATAATCCAGAGTCTGGTATAACAATATATGAACATGAATCAGCACATAGTACACAATGCATGAACTGTGAATTACAGAACTGATGCAATTAACTGTTTATATTGAGCTGTGGAAGAACAGCTTTGAAGAAACACACATTTACTTTAATTTAGCTATGCTAAATTATTACTTCACAAAAGTCTAAGTTCTCAGTTTTTCCTGGTGCCTAGAAAAGCATAACTGTTTTAAGATTATCAGATATTAGTTTTGGAAACTTTGTACTGATTTATTACCATGGGATACTGTTGGTAAGTAAATATAAAAAGAACAGTGCAAGCAAGTCAATTTAATACATAACACATGAACAGCAGTTTCCCATTTTATTACCACCATATTTATTGTTTTTACACAATATTTAAACTCTTTACCAATAGTATTAAAGATTTCTTAAAAATGTGCGTTGTGAAACAAATGTATTTTAACTACTATTTTACTGAGAGATACCCTGAGGCATAGACAAATCAGCTGTTACTGAACAGGGCAGAGCCAGGCCTCTTCTTCCCAGTCTGACAGGCCAACAACTTTGTTCTACAGAAAGACAGTATTTGCTCTAACAAAATTAAGGCAAAATATTAAAATGGTAAGAATAAAAAGTACAATAAAGATGTGTAGTTCTTACTTATACCATCCACTTCAAGCTTATTAATTTCTTCTTTTGGCAGTCTGATATCTTGCAAAGCAGACTTCAATTCCCAATTGTCTTCCAATACTCTGAGCTCTAAGTAAAAGAAATGCCTGAATTATTAATTAATTTATTGTTAATTTCTCTTCAGTAATTAAGATTCCTATACTTTGTGTTATTAGAATAGAAAGGAAATCTGTGAATTTTACAAGAAGAATAATGAAATCCACTCAGACACTTCTAATTGGGTTTGATCACATAGCTAAATGAAAGAAAAGCACTGGCATTGCAGTGCACAAATACTCGTTAGATTTTTATAGGATGTACATTTTGCAATGCAAATCATTTCACATGTTGCCTCTGAGTGTTAGAGTCCCGCATGTTAAGAGGAAACAGCTTTCTCCTGCAGATCCCTCATCCCAGTTTTGTAAAATGGGGGAGCTAGAAATGCAAAATTCATGGCACTGTGCAAAACACAGTCCTATATCTCCTGTATCTCCTCTCTTGCTTATCAGACTAACATCAGTTTAACCTCTGAGACCCTTGGGCAGTGTGGTCAAGCACACAGTACTCAGGGAGTATCTTGTTTCTGGGTAATGCAGGAAATTCAATTTCTCAAGGGGTTATGGCAGAGCCTCATTTAACCACTGTACAATATGTTCCTACACAAAGTCAGCAGATTTACCATCTCACTGTCCTTATTACTTCTCACTTAGTAAACCTTTTTTCTTTTCTTTTTAAAATGTAAACAGTACTAACATTTATTGTTTTACTTGCTTTAGAATAAATTCAGCTACATAATTTAAAAATTACTGTTTCAAATGTAATTAACTTACAGGACAGATTGCACAACTGTATATTATTAATCCTTTGGCTCTTGTTTATTTATGTGTTTTCCCATGTGTAGTGAAGGATGAAGAATATTGGCAACATAATGGAAATCTGTGACTTTCAGCTTCACTTTCAGAATGAATGAACCTTTTAAAACTGCAGGAGATTTTTCTTTTTTCCTTTACCTTTCCCTTCTCCTTGTTTCTGGAAATGTTCAAAAAAGTACAAGAAGTATTCTTCTCTCAACATATATTAAGCTAGGTAGTGCTTAGGACATGCCAGAAATATATTACTGGAATTCGTTCTTTCAAAGTACTCTTGACAAGTTTTGCAGATTCAAGTGGGTTTTTTTATGGCTGAAGGATCATCCTGCTTTTGGATGCTCATGCAAACTCAGCTGAACCCTTTTCCAGCCTCCCCTCCAAACTCCTGAAACTTCCCCATTACCACAACTGAATTGTAGGCATCGTGGAAGGAACTTCCAAACTGATCTGTGTCAGTTTAACTGTCTCCTACTAAAATTCATGGGTGATTCAGTTTCAAAATGCTGCCAACTGCAATGAAAATGGATTTACTAAAAATAGTTTTGCACCACAGAAGAGATTATGAAAGCAAGGAACTGAAGGAAAATTAATTCTGAAAAGGTAATGAAGAATTTAAAGAGAAGCCTGAATTTGTTTTTATTCCTGAGAATAACAGCACAGAAGAGGGAAGCATGATGAAACCAGTGGTGAAAATCCATTACAGGAAACTGTTCTCTGCTGCAGAGAGGTTAAGGTAACTGAATCAGAAAAAACAGAGAGGTATAAAAATGGATTAAATATTAAAAAAAAAAAAATCCATGCATGCATTGTATTTAAACCTTTAAATCTATTCAAATCTTCTGCAAAAGAAATACCAGAACATAGTGTTTCTATACCATAAGTGCAATAGACATGTTAACCTATCTTCTCCATTTGCAAAAATTTTTAAATGGTCATAAATTATGATACTACTGGAGTCTAAATAATATGATGTTGCAATTCACTGACTTCTACATGAATCACCAGAGATTAAGTTAGTTTAACAATATTGCAGCATTTGTCTTCCTTATGTTTTTGTGTGTCTTTTGGTCAGTTAACAGTGGGTTATCAATGCAGGCCAAACTGTAAGGACCATTACAACTACCAGCTCATTTCCACTGATTATTGGGGAAGGAAGAGAATGCTTAATCTCTGAAGTTTATACAGAACCATGCTAGTTTTCATAACATTCCAGGAACTGAAGGCTTAAAGCTGGAGAAGAACTTTTAGGGAAAAAAAAACAAATGAGGGACTGAGAGAGAAGATTCGCTGCAGAACTATTTTCATAGCTAGAAAATTCCTGCTTGGCTTGGTTGCAAACAGTCTTCACTAACAATCTACTTAAAGAATAAGGGCTCTGAATGTTTCTTGCTGAAGATCACACTTTGTATCAATAATTACACCTCGTCTGAAGAGTTATATGAACTGATCATCTGAAAGAGCTTCTGCTCTTCTCTGACATCTCTACTGATGGCTGAGGAAGTCATTGATCCAAATTCTATCTAGTACAGCACAACAGGTCAAACTGTAAACTCTAAATAGTATGCTATTGTCTTTTGTTTAAGGTAGTGTTGCCTCATGAAAAAGAAAGTCTTGTGCTCATCCAAATGTGAAAAGGAATATTCTGGAAATCATAATAATGTCTTCTACAAAGTTTGACTCAAAATTTGGTAGACAAAGAGTTGCCCATGTTCATTTTATCTCTACTGTGTAAACAGGAAAAACAGCAGCATGCTATAAAAGTGCTGGACCCAGGAACTGAGATAAATGCATCAGTGTGTTCATTCATATTTGGATTTTACTGATGAACAAATCCAAAAAGACACTAGTTATTTTAATATCAAACAAGATGAAAGGCTTCTCAATCACAATCCTAAGTATTGTATTAGAAGACCTAGATCTGGATTAGCGGTAAAGGAGTATACCAATTGCTCAGAAATAGGCAGGATACTTGCACTACCTCTATCACCATGGTTTTCAAAAAGAGTAGAAATGGGAATCCCAGGACCTGTTGTAAGAATGATAAAAAGTTAGTTTACAGTTTGAAGCTGGAATTTGGTGATGCAGTGTGTATTACATTAACATTGATAAGTGACAGGAGTTAAAGAGCTCAAAGATGATGCAAAAAATCTCAATCTTCTCTGCTATATAAGAAGAGAATACATAAGGTACTGCTACAATACATAAGATACTGTGCGTACAGACTTCTATATTTTATATATACAGGCATTGCTCAGCAAACATAATAGAAGCAACTTTAAATCCACTAATGCTTTCTCCCAAGAGATGAAGTGACATCTAGTTAATACCTGAGATGTGATTACATAACGTGAATGCAGAACTAACAATGTGAAACATTCTTCTGAGAACATGTCACATTGTATTTGTGAAGGTGAGTGCCTTTCACATGGTGATGACCTTACTGACTATTTTGTGCAAGAATGATTGAAAGGTGTTGTTATTTGCTACATTTGGTTCTCTCTCCAACAGAAGTTTAAGGAACTTTTCAGCTGATCAGTCAGTGCAGAATCACAAGAACAGTAAACTTTATATGGAGTACACAAAAGTAAAACCTTGGATTCTTTTCCTCTTTTTTTTTTTTTTTTTTTTTTTTTTTTTTAGATTGTGATGTCACTGTTTTTTGAGTACAGCAGGGGAGGAAACCTCAGATCACTGAAATCACCTAATTTATTACTTCCCTTAATGCTTGTGTCATGCAGGTGGATTCAATGATCACATATCTTGAACTGAATTTTTCTTAGATCATTTCTTAAAAATGTTCTCAGGTGCTAAATATCCAACATTTATGGATGACACAGGTCTTAATTTCAATTGGGAAACACAGTAAACTAGTTTCCCACATCTAACTTCGATCACATAAACTGCAAAACACTATATGTTTCTAAATCCTGTTCTGGTTGCTGCAAGAAAAACATGGCTCTCATGGATTAAAGTCTGTTTTGTGATATTAAAGACATTAAAAAATTCATTTTTAATTATCAAAATCCAAAGGTTTTTGTTGAAAAAGTTTAAAAAAATCCTGAATATATCTGTATTTACTGAAACATCACAAAAGTTTTGAACATGGGAAGTCTCCTTCCTGGTTATTGTGAAATTTCTGTGAGTCATACAAAAATAATTTGGGATAATCAGTATTAACTACAGTACTGACAAAATATTAAAGAACAAATGATTACATGTTTGGTCCCATGCCATACATACCATAACAGATCAAGGCATAATACTTTGAACGTTCACTGAATCTTGCTGTATAATACTGACATCTCTCTTTTCTTAAATTGCAAGTAATGCATTGTTTTCTCATAGGTTTACTTCCAATGCTGATTCTAAGAGAAAAGTCAAACAAAGCAATTGCTATTTTGCTAAAATTAACTTTACATGTCTCTTTCATATTCCTGGATGCAGGCCCTGTACTTTCAGAACTGTTAATTTAAAAATAAATGCTTGGTCTTTTTATCATTTTTTTCCCCAAGACTATATTTAAATGCTAGATGTTATTTCTCTCAATTGTCAGACAGAATATGAGGTTTAGTTAAAATAGCTTGTGAAATTATACATTAAACATCTTGAAATGAAATTTTTTTATTGACAAATCCAGAGAAATCTTCTATTAAGCTACTATCATTAAGATAATGTTGATAACACTTACTTGTAAATATTTCTTCTTCCTGGATAGCCTTCAAATTCATTGCTTGAATAGAAACTGCAAATTCATTTATATGTTAATAAATAATCCATAAAGTGATGACCTATGAACAAGCATCAAGATGAAAAGCTGTCTTGGAAGTTAATTTAGACTTCTTGAGATTTCTGCATGCAATGGGAGAGTAGTTAAGCTTATATACCTTTCATCTTAATAAATCTTTGCTCAGACTATGATTAGGTGACACATAAGCCATATAAATAGGAGTTCTATCTTAATTCTCATGAGCTAATCTCTCCAATTATGTAAACTGTTTCTATCTATACAGTAAGCTGAAATAGAGATCATAAAAAGACAAGTAACTGCAAATTGTGTGAGTGTTAACCACATGATTAAATTAAGTGTTTTTAAATAAAGCTTTCTAAGATGGGTGATGAAAATAAATAGAAAATTGAGGGCAATTTGCAAAGAATCTTTCGTAAGTAAATCACGTTTACAAACCTATGCAGTGCCTTAGCATACAAATTTGTTTTGGATACATTCAGATAAAAAACAAATTACACCTAATTATAATCTGATGAGCTAACAAATGATGTTCAAATAATTAAGTGTGGCTTTTACTGACAACACTCACAACCTTTTTACTTCACGACACTTACATTGCATCATTTGTTACTCTGAAAATGTATATTGCCTCCCATTCTCCACTTGTAACTTGGATTGCATTCTCCTGTGTAGTAAGACATTTAAGTTACTAAATATTGTAGAATTATTTCAGGACAGTAGATCAATGTAGAACACTTGGCTTGACTTACCACAGAGCCATTGATGTAATGAATATGCTTATAACCATTTTTGTCACTAAAAATTTTGTAGTATGAACTGCTGTCTGATGTAAAATATGGTGCAGAAACAAAGAACTGAAACAATGGAAGAAAAACAGTAGATGAGACATAAGACTGTCCAAGCTGTTTAGCAGATTATACTACACATAGTAAAAGTAACAAGACTATTTAATCAGTTCAAATGGGACAAACTACTTTGCACAGGTTTGTACCTGTGATATTCAACCTCCCTGTGATCATGTTACAATTTCTTTAATTTTGAGTTTCTTAAACTGATAATATAGATACCTCAAGAACATCACAAATGAGCTCTCTACTTGTAAGTAGAATAATTTGTATATTCTGAATAACCTTTCTTTAGTTATTTAAAAACAGGCAGAAATTGTTTTTAACAAATAAGTGTCTGAATAAAGCTAATGTTGATGAATGGTGCCAGACTGAGTATTCCGTGGACCTCAGTTTGTCTGTTTCACTGAGCAAGCACAGCATCAAAGAAATGGATACCTGAAGTTTCCCATACTATTCCACTAATTTTAAAGAACAGATTATTCCAGATAAAATAATTCAACTTTTTCTTCCTTTCAAAGAATCATGTCTTTACTAAAATTGTCAGTCAAGGCTGAATTACTGCAACTCTAATTTTTTTTGTTTGTTTTCAAAGCATGAAGACATGAAGATATGAAGATATAGGAATAACCTCCAAGCCCTTCAAACATAGTCAAATATTCCTGAGTGAGTATACCCTTTGAATAGTATTAACTCAAGCTCAGCTAGGACTTGTAACTACAAGTTAAATTCTCCTGGAGACTGTATCTATGATTCCTAATACTTGAAAGCCTGTAAAGGTAAAAGCTGGGATTTATACATGTGTACAAATTCTTTAGCTCTAATAAAAATCTGTCATCAGAACCTCAAGTGAAGTGTCAAAAAAAGAGGACCCTGTAAAATAACTGATTCTTGTAAATATATGATCTTCTCATTAAAACATCTCTTAAGGAACTGTGCACTCAAAATTGAATCTCATTGTTAAGTCCACTACAGGATATTCAGGCAGTGTGAGGTTCACACACTTGATTCTGTTATCTGCTACTGCCTGAAAGTAAATATAAGCAACACTACATATTCATTGCTGGAATACAGTCTATATGACTAAGTACTGATCTCATGCTCTTACAATTTCCTTGTAGGCTTATTTTTACAAGTTTCCGAAGGTAAATGGCTGTCTAGGGTTACTGGGCAGAGAAAACATCTTTTGCTAAGAGGTAACTCCACAGAAGTATCTCCTGCCATTCTAAGGAGCGTATCTTCCCTTGAAGGTTTCCCCTTAGCTCAAGATGTGCTGCACCTGGCACAAAAACTGTTCTGAATGGACAGATTTTATTCTTAAAATACTGAAATAGCCCATTTTATCCCTTGCTGTAGTGTCACCAGAGGAATTTTACATCTATTCTTAGGTTCCAGAATGCTTCTAAGGGTTACACTGCACTGTAAATCTACCTCTTTTCATTACTTTCCTCCCTTCATTAATTTCTCTCTCGACCAACTTTTCTGTCTAGTCAGTTGGTTTGGACCAAAATAGGTTTGTAAATTTAGAAAGCAGGTAGCCAGGTTCTGTGTCTAGCACAGCATTAAAAGCCTCAGTCCAGCAATGCAACAAGTCTAAGCAGTGGTGCTGTATATCTCAGAAGGGGGCTTCATGTTTCAAAACACTGATGGAAAGATGCAGAAAACTGTAGCTTTTAACTGAATTAAAAGAGAGTACAACAAGAAAACCTACTCCGCCTGCCCATCCTGTTTGACTCTCTTCTATGTGCTGTTGACTCTGAAAAACAAAAGCAAATGTACACTTTTAAAGAATATTGAGTTTATGGAGATTCAAAATCATCAAATAAATCAGTAGCTGACTGTAAAAGAGAATTTTAGAATATTTGTTATGAAGGTTAAGGGAGTTGGAGGTTGTCTAAATAAACAATATTGCTGTATTAAGGTCATTACATTAATTAAACTATTGTTTTTAACAGCTGTCAATAGAGCTAAATAAAATTTAAAGCAATTACACAACTTTTTCACTGAAAACAAGAATGAATAACTACCTAATCTCATTAATATTTTGGCAAAAATCCAAGCAAAATAATATCAGGAATATTAATACTAAAAATTTGGTTTAGATTTTCTTTGATTTCAGAGCTGAGATGTTAATTTAGAGCAGTGGGTGATGTGGCTACTAAGCATTCTGAGACTATGAATATAAATTTAGAACATCTTAACTCCTTTTTCCTAAAGCTGATTTGGAAACAGACTTATCTGAGCATCAATGATGCAGCTAAAGGTGCTTTTACATTTGTACTTATGTTTTACTTGTAAAGTTTCTAGTGATATATTTTAGAAATCTGCATTCAATAATGTATTTCCTTTTTGATCTTGCAATTTTTTCTTTATACTGTTCATTCAATACAGTATTTCTTCATAGTCTGAAATGAATTTAACAAATTTGCTTTTTAAGGAATATGATATGTATTTCTTACTCTCAACATAATCTCACTACTATTTAAAATCATGTGTTCTCCCTTCTAATTTAATCCCCACAAAGTGACTTGAAGAAAAGTTGCAGGTCCTTGTCCCTTAGAAGATGAGTACTTTGCAAGGGCTCCACTGAGCTACTAACTGAAATGATGAATTTTATTTATTTTTAAGATAATAAAAATGGAATGTATTGTTTTATATCTGCATCCTAACATTATTTTCCTTTCTTTAAATTAAAACTCAGATCTTGATGACATAGCACATTAAGGATATACTTAAATTCTCTCATTTGAGTACTCCCAATTTCAGAAAGACATGCCTACCTATTACTCATATGAATAGTTCCACTGCTCATATTGCTTTTTGTGGTCTAGTCACATGAGAAAGAGTTGAACATGTGAACATTTCTGATGTATCTACACTTTGGGAACAACTTGTAGATCGTATTTTGTTATTTTTTCAGATACATAAAACATAGCCTGTTTATTATACATTAGAGATTCAATGCAATCTGAATTCAACAAGAGAACTATTTTTGCCAAAGGAAATGTTCAGAGATATACTTTCTGATGGCAAATAGAGCTAATGCAGCAGTCCCATCTGTTCACACTCCTTCGATTGGCCATTTGTGCAAACTTTAATGTGATAAAAGCATTGTATCACTGTATAAATATAGAATTATAGAAACGTCAGTAGTGACTCCATAAATAAGGTTTCATGGAGAAATGCAATTAAACAAGGATCATGAACAAAGTCCTAAAAGATGTTAATTGGTCTGGTCTGGTCTGGTTCCAGCAAAGCAATTAAGCACATGCTTAATTTTAAACACATAAACAGATCTACTGAAGTAAATAAAACTGGTTATGTGCTAAAAGTTAAGCTTGTGTTAAAGTACTTCACTGGATTGTGGCAGAATCCTAGAAACCTTATATGTTTTTTTCTTTCCATTAAAATATGGAATTATTAAAATATAGCTTACTTGCAGGCAAGGTAGAGATTCAGTGTTAATGTACCTATAAACTGGAATAATTAGAAAATGTAGCAAATGATACATTAAACATGTTTTTTCCCCTACTAAATGACAATATTTCTCTGTGGATTATTACTTCAATGACAATGATTTTGAAATAACAGGACCTTAAATACCCTTTAAATTTGCAACAGTTTTCATGTAAAGAGGAATAAAAATTATTTTCAGCCTGAAAAGGCTGTGTCAGTTAACTCTGAAATTATAATTTATCAGTTATACAGAACGCTTTTATAAATATTTTTGCCTTTTATTTACAACTAGTTCAATGTTTCATCTAATGCTAGTTTTAAGAGGTGTTCTGTGCCATGAACTCTAAGAACAAGACAAGCCAAAAGCACCAATATTAAAAGACAACAAATGAGATCACTATACTAGAGTTACTGAAATTCAGGGGTGTCTTTCATTCAGGATCTATGTGAATTTATCTGTGTGTACACTCTTCAGGCTTTACAAAGCTCTGTTCTGTTCAGCAGAGCAGTCTTCTTTCCCAACTGACTAAATCAGAGAATGACATATTGAAACCAAATGTAGTTACTGTTGCAATTAGCCTGAAGTTTTCTTTTCAGATCTGATTGTGTTTCTGAAAACTTGCCTACTGTCTAGAACCGTATGATTTGATAAAACAGAAGAATTTCTTCTTCCAGAAAAGCTGCCTTACTATTAATGTGTATGTTCTTTCAAATAATCTAACATTAATCTAAAAGGACATGATTTAGTCCAACTTAATGGACTTTAGTCCATTTCAACATGGTATAATAAGGTTTTCTTTAAAAAAAAAAAAGATCGTATATGGTTTCATTTTTGAAGATGCTAACACAAGAAAGAAATAAACAACATTACTGAAAGCCTCTCAATAGCATTTTAGGTGGTTGTTGTTCTTGTTTTGGTTGTTATTTAAGTTTCACAAATAAAAAATGTACTGATTTTATTTCCTGGAGCAATTAATATTTTTCACCCCTCTTCCAGAAATTATAATACTGAAAAAGATATCACTACTAGTAAAAGATTATTGTGATAAAACACTGTAAAATATAATTATGGCAGGGATTAAAAAATGCTAATTTCAGCAATTTTAGATTTATATTTCCAACTTCATTACCTCTGGACAGTCCCAATTATTTGAATGCTCTTTGAAGTCACAAATAGCTAAAACTGAAAAATTCTGTATTCTCTTCAGCCACTGCACACAGATTCGAGTATCTGTTACCCAAGTAAGCCAAGTAAAATAGTGATCACTAAAATATAAAACAATAAAAAAAAAAGGAGAAATGGCAGTTATTAAACAACAGGAGTAAGGAAGCATTGCTACAGATTGCATTCCCCACATTTCTCTCTGAGAAACAACAGCAAAGCATTCACTGTTTGAGGGTACTTTTTTATCCTCTAACAATGTATCACATGTACTGCCAAAAGAAAAATGCAATCTTTCTAGTTAGCTTCTGATCCTTCTAGGAGTTTAATATGTCAGCACACTGTTAGATAAAGTACAACTCAGAGGCTCAAAGGTTTAAAACAAATAGACAAAACCTTTTTTTAACCAAGAAAAGACATATTTGAGGGCACACTTACCTGGATGCTATGATTGCAGGAACTGGCACTTCCTTAGGACCAAATGCTTCAGAGTTAATAGTGTCTACAATAAACACTTTAACAGTAGGATTTTTAGCTCCAGCCTTCAAAGAAAATGTTTTAGGTTATTAAAACCATGCACTGAATAATTTAGATTGAGGAACATCAAAACACTTTTTGCAGGAAAGTAGACAGGTTACAAAATATGAATTCAGTTGAGTATAATAGAGCAAATAGTCTTATAAGATCTAAAAGTGAAACTGCAGCAGTAGTACATACTTAGTTTTCTATAATTTATATTTATATATATAAAGAAGAAAACCTTTTAAACATTTGAGTTTAGTGCCTTTCTCTATAGAAAATGTGCTTGGTGGTAATGATCATTCTGTTTGCAGTGGGGGTCTTTGCAGCACACATTACACTGACTTCAGCATAAAACTCCAGCTTATTCACATGATTGCAAGTGCTGTTTGACATCCCAACTGGGAAACGGTTGCTTAAACTGATTTCATGGTTGCTTCTTCACTGCATATGTTATCAGTTTTTTAATTCTTCTCCATGTGTGGTCTAAAAAATCCAGTTTTACTTTAGAACTGTGACACAGCTGACAGGTGAGCAAATTCTTTAAATACATTAACATGATCCCTTGCAATCATATGAACATGGTAAGAGTCAGGAGAGCTTTCTAATACATGCTGAAGAAATGCCAACCCAAAACCTTGTTGTCTTAGATCTGGCACTTGAAAGCAATTAAAATCCAAAGACCCTTGAGATCAAAAAGCACTATGAAGTGTGCAAATAAAGTGAAGCTTTTATTTTAAAAAATATATTAAAAAAAAAAACCACTTAGCCTCATAATTTATTCACTATAATGATAAAATAATAACTGCCTAGCTTACACACCAGAATAAATAGACTTAATTTAAAAATATTAAGCACTTTTAAACATGCTTTTAATCTAAATGAGTAATTCCACTTATTTCACTGATATTATATTTAAAATATATAAAATAGAAAATATATTTTAATATTATATTTAAAGTTTTGTATGTATCTACAGCTGTTCAGAGCTTAGACCAAGCTTGTTTTCTTTTACTTAAGTCACAACAGATGTAACCACGGTAATACTTAAGGAATTAAGCACAGTTAATTTTCTCATTGTCGTAACTCATTTCTCAACAGAAAGGAAGTCAAAAAAATGATAAAACATACCTTTGGGTATGGAATAATTATTTTTCTAGGATACTGGTCTTCACCAAAATATGAATATTCAATAACTGGTATGTCAGAATCATTAAATTGTACATATGCTAAATATCTTCCATTTGGAGACCACCACAGTGCATATTTTGTTGCTAGCATCTCCTCTGAGGAAAAAAAAAAATGTTTATAACTGCAATCTACCTTCCAATGTATTTTAACACTCTACTCAGCAATCTAGACACAAAAGACAGTTACACTAAATAAAAAAAATCAAACATTTCAAAAATGCACACAGATCCTACTTAATTCACTTGGAATTTTCCTGTGTGCAGGATTTTTTAAAGTTTGTTTTTTTGGATGCACTGAAGTGCCAAATTTTCACTGAAATTAAAACTTTAAATCTTAATTCCCAGCCTCTGCTTTTGCATCAAAAGGAAGACAACTTTGTATGGTTTTGATACATTTTCAGCAACAAAGGCTCAGGATTTCGGTTATGTGTTATGAATACAAAATTAATACATTGTACAGTAAATGCCATATGGAAAAGAAGTAATCCTTAGGGCTGAAAAAAAAAGAGGATCATCACAGACATTTTAAAATGGATTGTGAAACCTGGAACTAATCTAAACAAAGATTTATCATTTGATTTATCATATTTATCATGTTGTCCTTCCAGATTTACTTACCTTCATAGACCCAGTCAGGAATCCCATTAAATATTTCATTCTGTTTTCCATCACTAGTTATTTTAACTGGTGACTCTCTAGGACTTTGTTTCAAATAGATATTATTCTGAAATACATATACCTAAAGACAGGAAAGTTTTTTTTAAGAGTACAGTCAATACTCCTACTGCAGTCAATACTCCTACATTACACTAGCAAGACCTAATGAATATAAAATGGGAAATGGTACACTAATAGCCCTTGTAAATTCTGAAAGAGTTGGTACCTCAGCAAATAAATTATACATTGCAGGCCAAATTATATAATTTCAATTCTATAATTGAAATTCTATAATTGAAATTCTATCATTTCAATTCAGTAAAAAATTTAGAACAGATTTTAAATCCTGCATCTGTAAATCTCCATTTTAAATTAATGTGTTACTGAGCATCAAAAGGAAACCAATTGGTTTTCAGACCTTGAAACTACATTTAATTTTATATAAAATTATGTTGGTCAATTCTGGATAAAGACTGGTGAGCAAACTGAAACACATATTGTACCTGAGAACATGGATTATTCTTCTCTTGAGACACAGAAAGTAAAATCTGAACATGTTAAAACTTTTCTTTGTCATTATTTCTCATAACCAAGATTAATAAACACAGGCCTGTCAAAAATATGGCCTAAGAAAATAAAAACCAAAAGCAGATGTCTTTTAGCCATACAAAGCAAATTAATTTTGGCACTTAATTATCTTTACTAACCAATTTGTGTCCAACGGGTGACCAGGATATATACTGAATTTTATGTGGAAGCTGATTTTCTGTTACAAAAACACTAAAAAAAGGAAAGAAGTTGAGATGGCTTTTTGTACACAGTGCAAAGGGATCATTATACTGTACATTAATAAAAAAGTCACAAAGTTATTTTCTAACTGCTTATTGTTTCTTGAGCAATGCACAATTAAGGCAGGCAGAAACATGCAGTTAAGAGTGTGCACCAGTGCTGGCAAAGGCTTAAACTTACTCCTTTGAAAACCTATTCAACAGCCTAAGGAGCCAGCCTTATCTGTTTCCAAATGCTGCACAAGCACCTCCAGTCATTTGCTGTAGCTGCAGTCTGTGTTACAGTCTCAGCAGGTTATTGGGAATGTGAGCTCAGCATGCACTGAGGCAGGCACGACAGCAGCACGCCCAGCATTTGCTGAGGATCCCAGCTCGCATGCAGGACCTCTCTACTCACAGCAGCTCGCAGCAACTTCTTCCTGGCACCCTGAGCCAAGTTTCCCAAGAATGGTGCAGCTCAGTGCAGCCCCTGTTGCTCAGAACTAAGCACATTTGGTCACATTGCTGCTTTCAGCATAAAAAGGTGACTGCAGAGGCAGATGGCTTCCTTTGGATTTGAGTGGAAAGAGGAGACCAAATGCCATGGGACAAGCTATTGACTTTTAAGGAATGCAGGGTGGGCTGTTACAAGAGTTTTAGGGAAGCTGAAGATTAGACTAATGATAAAAAAAAAAGAATTAGTGGAAGGGGATGGAGACAAAAGAGAATATTGAGCAGTGAAAATTTTAGGGAATGAAATAGGAATCAATCCAGATTAAAAGAATGTATGATTTTTCCTAGAGAATATTTTTTTCTCAAGCAAACAAGTAACCTGACAGATTTAGGCAAAAGCAAAGCAAGTTGGTAGTCACATTATTACAGTTTTGGAATGAATGCTCGCAAGCCCATCACTACAGTGTATGCACCACAGCCCCCTGTAAGAAATATCAGGTCTTACCCATTTATGAGATCATAAATGTGATATGATGCTGTGTAAGAGTATCTCCACAGCTGCATAAATGAAGCAAGAGAATATTATTAGCCTTGAAAAAGATAATCTAATTAGAAATAGCCCCTTCACAGCCTATTCCCTTCTCAAGAAAATACCAAGAAACATTTATCTATGGTAAATGCAATCAACAAAATACTACATAAAATTAAATATTATATTAAGAGGTATATTAATTACCTTTGAATAATTGCTTTCCAGAGCTATGAAATATTTGTCTGATGACATCACATAATTTGAAGCATTAACTTGTTTCTGAAAAATTAAGAAGTAGATTAGATTCTAGTCTCACTGACTTTTAAACTGTAACTTGAAATACAACTGCACTTTTCTGCCTTTTTATTAATGGAAAAGGTACATACCATTGTGCTGTTTGTCATGATGGTGGTTGCATAATCAATTTCAACATTGTAAAGAATAATATCATCCTCTGCAGACTGATGAAGATACTCATTATCTTTATAAACAAGATAAAATGTTTGTTACCTTCACAGAAAATACTACATATATGATCAACAAATTCACACCTCTTTCAAAGAATAGGTTTTAAGCAAATATGTTTCAGCATAAAAAAAATGTTCAACATAAAAAAATGGTTTTCTTCTAACAATGTTGAGATAGAGAGTTATCAAGAAATTCTTCAGGGTTCTCGAATATGTTCTCGAGATTATACACTGTACAGAGGATCAACTATTTAACTTTACAAGTAAATGCCAGATTTTATTCTCATGTCTGATCAAGAATGCCAGTGACAGACACATTAGAAAGTCAGTATCAAAATGTAAATGTTTTAAAGAAAATACCTCTGCTTATCCTTTTACCAGAACATTCTCATTTGTATATTCTGCAGATAAAAGCAGCACCATACAACTGATACTGCATTACTCTGCCCTTACTCACAAGAATCCTACAAAATAAGGGTGAGTGGACTTCAATGAAAATAGAATTTAACCTTGCCTTTGCTCAGGATCTGAGCTATAGTTTGGTAGAGAATAAAGATGAGAATTTTAGTTTCGGATTATTATTTTCACTGCTATAAACAGAGAGAATGAATTACATATTTGGTGTCGCTAGAAAACAAGACTAAAAGTTAAACAGGAGCCTTAAATATTGTGAGGATGTTCATTTTTAGGAAATTAGATCACCCTTGGATCTTCTGAGCACTCTTGTGTGATTTGTATAACAGTATTTGTTTAAAATCACCCTTAGGATGAGATATACAATTTTAACTCCTTGTTTCAAAAGAGAAGTAGACATATGGAATGCTGTAGGCATGACTATCTATGGAATCTAAGGCATGACTTTTGTGTGAGTTTTGTGACTGTTAAAAGGAAAGATAAGTCTAAGTGAGAAAGCTATAAAGAGAGAAGAAGAATATTAGGTTTAGGTGATATGCTGCCTACATTCTTCAGACATTCAGACAGAATTCTAACAAATAGTGACCTAATTTTTAAATCATACAAGTGATATCTAATATATTAGGTTTAGGTGATATGCTGCCTACATTCTTCAGACATTCAGACAGAATTCTAACAAACAGTGACCTAATTTTGAAATCATACAAGTGATATCTAATACGTCAAAATGCCAGTTGTAAAATTGAACCACTGTAAGTAATGCCTCAATCATAAGGCTTTACTTACTTTCTAAAATTGTGGGCTAAAACTAGCTTGGTGAGACTTTTATGTGAAGGGGCACTATGCTTCTTGCTACTGGCAGAGAACAGTGCTTGAGGCAGCACAGAGATGGGAGCAGTATGTGTGCTAGAACGTAATCAGGCTAGCTCCAGTCTCCCTGGTCTGTGCAATTCAATGATAACAAGAGCAGCACTTCAGCCACACAAAGACACATTTGTATCAGCAGCAATTAACTTCATGTCTCCACCTTAAGGAACTTAGAAAGTCAGCTTTATTTTCTATGCAATATCCTGAACTCAGGAATTTCAGCAGTGTCAGCACTTCCTTAAATGAAATCAGAACAGCTGGCCTCATTGTAGAGCCAGGTACTACTGAAAACAAAGAACAAAGGGCCTGTAAGACAGACTACCTCAATCATTACAAGTGGTAAGTGAAAAAGTGCTGTGAAAAGCATGAAAAGGAGATTGCTTAAGGAATGACTGACACACTGACAAATTTCTTTCACTTGCTGCAATGAACATGACAGTAAAAGAAATAAAACACTGAAGGCCTCTGTAAAATTATAGTTTATACTTGACTCAGACATGTTGAAACATCAAATACCTGGATTTTCTAGAATGACTGACAGAACAGTAAATTTCAACCATACGTTTTGACTAACACATTGTTTAATTTCCTAGCTAGCATTCATTCAAAGTAAAGTTGGAAGGAAAATACATTTCTCAGTCTGTGTAAACCAGTCTGGAAATACATATTAGAAAGGCTTATCTATGTCTGAGAAAAAGTTTTACTTACCTGACACCCAATATGGAAAAAATGTTTTATATTGAAAGTTTCCATTCAAGTAATCCTCCAAGGTAAGAGCTCTAGACCCATCATCTGTGTTGACAACTAAGCATAAGACAAAAATCTTCTGTTAATGACAAAAGGGAAAAATATTATTAGTCTAGTGTTTTGGTTTTTCTGTATTCAGTGCCATGCAACAGTGAGGATACCATAGTCCTGGAGATATGCAAAGTGTAGGCGCAGCAGAAAGGAAAGTTCCCTGTTACTGTTCTAGTAAGTTCCTTTAGCCTTTGAAAGACTCATCTTTGGGAATGCAAAAACTAACTAGACAAACTCATTTATTTCAACCATTTACTCATGCAGACACATTTACCTGAAGACCCTGTGAGTCCACATAAGCCTTTTCCACACAGAAAACAAATTAAAGGTTGCTTGATGGTTTAAAGTTATTTTAAGCATGGGTTTCACGAACTTGTAGAGGCAACTATTTTAATCAGGACCTTCACACGTTCAACAAATGGTCAAACAGGATGCAAACCCTAACTTCCAAATTTTGTACATGCCTCATTAACCATTGATAGACAATAGCTTGCAAAATCATCACCATCTACATATATAAATCAGTAGTCACATGAAAAACATTGATGAAGGAAAGCAGGCAAAAATAATGCTGAAAAGTAAAGAATGAGTGAACCCAAACTTGAACTTTTTATTTAATGCTGCAAAAGAAAATTTACAGTGATTCTTGAAAGAAGACAGGTACTCAAATATTTGATTTCTAAGCAGGTCAAATAACCGTATAAAATAATGCAAGAAGTGGAGGCTGGTTTTCTGGATCTTGTCTGGTTATACTTTTTCCCAAAGCTAATCAGCTTAAGCTAGGGCAGATTTCAAAAAAAAAAAAAAACTTCAAGGTCAATCAACTGGATAAGAAGAGTGCTGGATAAGAAGAGTAAGAAGATGCTGTGCAGTTCCTGTGTAGAATCTATGCAATTCACAAGAGTGAGAGTAAGCAAAATATTTAATCCTCAAAAGACACATGAATTGTTCTATAAAGGCCAATTTTTAAAGTTCAACAGCATAATAATGGCAGCTTTCAGGTCTAGGCATTCTGGATGCTATGCTTCCTCAAAAATCAAAGGGACTTCTGCCAGGGTTTTCAGAGGTAGTAGAGATGTCACACTGCAGCTTAGGAGATCTTTGCCACCTCCCCTGTTTGTTCCTTCAGAGCTTTCAGATGACAGTCAGATAATCAAGATGACTCGTTGCTCTCAGGTTTCATATCATGCTCCATAACTTGCTCATTAGTTGCCCTCTCTGTTAAGATCACACTGACTTCCTGGGAAATGTTTCTTCATATTGCCTTCTATGGTACTTTGTAATGATAACACATATTTTCTTCTGCTAAGTGACTATTATTTACTGTAGAATACACATGTCAGGTTGACTGCTGACACAAGCCAAGTTTGCACTAATGCAGAAGAAAACTGTCACAAGGAATAAAACTGAATGCCAATCCAGAGGCAAAAAACTGTCCCTATAAACTCTGAGCTAGCAGTGTATCCAGAAAATATCCCAAGAAGTTCAATAATAAGTTAATTCTTCTTGCTAATACTATGACTGCATATTACTGATCTTTGATACACTAATGATAAACATAGAAGATGGCAGACTTAAAAGAAAATGCTCAGAAGATAATTCCAAAGAATCCAGTTCCAGTTATGTTGAATGATGATTACTTATCATTATCTCTCAGTTAAAATTCTCTAAGTGAAGAAGCTTATTAGCAAAAGAAATCAAGGTCTATTTCCAAGGTTTTTTGTATAGAAAGCTTAACATTTGCAGTCCTTTCTGGTACCTTAATCTGGTACCTGGTTCCTTCTCTCATCTTAAGAGACAAGCAATATCACAAACTTCTCATCACTGATCTAATTTTCAGAGCTCTAATTTAAACCTTCCCTGTGTTATCTATTTCACCCTTACATACTTAATATTCCATGAAGATTTATTATGACTGCTGATTTTCAAAGTGTGCCCACTAAGTTCTGAACCTCTACCACTGTACTGCAAAAAATTTGAAAACAACTATTTCTCACTTGAGTACTTAAAATTTGGAATGATTGTTTTTAGGCAACAGAAGATAGCAGCAGCATCTTCAATAGTTTCCCAAAATTGTTGCTGATTGTTTCTTCTGTAACTAGAGACTTGTTCAATAACAGTATCTGAAATCTCTGCTCACAAACCAGACACTAACACAAAAAGTACTCTATGTATCTGAAGTACTCTATAGGCACTAATTTGGATGGCTGTTGGTAGGTTTGGCAAATTCTTTTATTGTGGTTTGTTTCTCTATGAAATAGGAAGGATGAAAACAAATGCCCAGGGATGAAAAGGAAGCAAACAGCACAGCCAACCACAAAAATGAAAGCTTACCAAATTTCAGCTTTGTTCACTTTCTTTCACCTCCCCACTGCCTCAGTTTTAATCCTTTGTGGTCCATTTCCTCTCATTTGCAGGGTGCAGTTCTGCATTTCTCTGTGCACTGAATTGGTTATTTTGCTTCAAAGTGTAACTTGTTTTATATATTCAATGATCATAATTACTCACTCACACATTTGAGTGTATTGCACTTACATGTATAATTGTAGTGATAAAAATCTGTAAACATTTAAAAATTATCACTGGTTTTATGCAGATAGCTTCTCCTTTACCTTTCAGTTCACTGTCCTAAGAGAACTTAATAAAGCAAAACTTGCAGTTAATTAAACTTGCAGTTATATTAAACTCAGATTAACTTTATGTACATCACTCTGTCACTGTGAAATTCTGTTTGTATTACCAGGATTATTCAGTTTCAAAGACTGGATATGGGTAATTCAACACAACCGTTTGTATTCAAAGGTCTCCTGGTTTATGGCTTATTCCACATGTTCTAATGTGCATCCTTATAAATTGTGTCTAGTTTTGCCAAATTATAGTAAGCATTCATAACAATCAGAAAGTATTGTTTCTGCATATAGTTATTTTTATATGTATATATATATGCATTTTATTTGTATTTAATATATATGCATTTTTATAAGTATTTTATTTAACATCCACTTCTAAACATCTGGTAGAGGACGTGACAAAAGAAAACTGATTAGTATGGTATTACTGTCTTCTGCTTCTGGACTAGAATTTCCATTCTTATCTCTGTGGTCTGATGCTGAATAGCTGAAGCACAGGCTCCTCCAACATGAGGAAACACAAAACTCAATTTAGCACCAGAAATTAATTCCAGCACTCCTGACCCTGCTCCAAGACTTTGATCACACTCAGCATCAACTCACGTCAACTGAACCTGCTTCTCCACTTTTGGATTTGGCTGAGGAGAGGCAGAGAACACTACCTCTTCATAAGAAACTGGCTGCTCACCACTTTGTGGTTAAGCAGTAAGCTCTATCACCTCACCTGTGAAATCAGAGAAACAGGGATTGGGCCTCAGGCCTAGGTGAAGAGTACAAAGGGAACAGAAATTTTGACAAGCATGACTTTGGATATTCATTAAAAATAGCAGTAGAGATAAATTTGAAGCCTAAGCAATAGAAACAGTTAATTGTAACTCTACCTGTGGTTCCGCTAATGCTTCTCAAATGCAGACAGGTATTTTCTTGTTTATGCTGCAGAAGAGGACTAGGTACACCAGTGTACAAGTGAAAAGCTCCTTTCTGAACCATTTAGAGTTGCAGTATCATAGTTGGGTTATCACTGTCAGGTAAATCCCACCACACCTTCCTAACTGAAAGATGTGTCAAAAAATGGTCAGTGATTTCTTAGGCATGGATGCCATTTTCTACACTGATATTGCCCACCATCCTCTTCTGAGCCCCACAGAAATTGTCTAATACTTGCAGTTGCAAGTATATATCCCTCTTAATATCCTCTCAAAATTATTTTACTGTTGGCTTTTGAGAATTTTTGACATTTTTATACTCTTGCATGTGTAAATCAAAACCACCTACCACATTTTGAGAAGTCTGAAGAACATTAAATGACTAGAAACTTAGCAGACAAAACCAGAACTAAATGCTCCTTCCATTTTTCTCTGCAGATTTCTTAAGTAGAAATTGATATGTTCTGTGTCTATACATTTCTCATATGCAATTAATTGTCTTTCTAGATTGCCACATCCTTTCAGTTGAGCAGTGGTAAAGCTGGAATGTACAAACAACATTCCAGTTGTGTAGCCATTTCCTGTCTGTCTCCAGCTCGCAAAATTTGTAACTCCAAAATTAATTTATATTTCTTCTATTTACAACTGATCAGTAGACTACTTAGAATTAAAAAAGGTTAAGGCATTTGAACAGGTAACTGCAGCACTTGCAGTTCCACCTGAGAATAAGAAGCAATAATCGGACACATCCAACATAATTGTATATTGGATATAACTGTGTGTTCTTCAATTGTTTAAAATGCTCCTCCAAAAGCATCCTGTGAAGTAAGATAATTTCTTTATCATCCTACTGGATTTAAATATGATGTTTGGTATGACTGGTTATCGAGTCACTATTCCAAGAGACATGACAAGAGTTCTCCATAATTGCTGAGGTACTGAAGAGGCCAATGAGCTGTATTTGACAACAAAAAAAACACACATTCACTTTTTCCTACAGTACCTTCCATCATCTTTATCAACTTCTTCAGGCTGCCAAACTGATCCTTGGTCTCCAACCTCTTTGTTCCCTCACTACTATTTTTTAAATTTAAATCTCATAAAAATATTCTGCCTTCCCTGTCATAAAATGCAGAACTGATGGGAGTAAGTCTGACTTGATACCATGCATTTACCCTGTAGTGAAAGCTCAGATTTGACCATGCTTAGCCAGACAAAAAATCTGGCACCCCACTATTGACAGTAAAGTCAAACCTGTCACTCTGAGGCGCTATCTCTTCCAGCACTGCATAATATATATGCATATCTATATCTATCTATAGATATATATATATAACTGATATATATCTATCCTCATATTAAAATGCTGCATAACAGAATCATCCCTAACTGCTTCAGAAACCTTCAGCCCTTCTCTCAACAACCCAGGATAAACATTAGTCACAGAAATATCAGATATAAAAGAGATTTCACCTTTCACAAAATCTGCATATTAACTGTAGGACTTAACTTTCACAAGACTTAAGCAGATGGTTGATTTTATAACATTTAGTTGTAAATACAAAACTGTTTCTCCATCTCAGTCCCCTCATCCACACACACAAAAAAGAAAAATAACAGAAAAAATGTCCTTTGAATAGATAGTCTTACTGGAATATATGCCTTTTATTAATACTTTAATTATTTCAGAGGCATTCAAGTAATCTGCTATAGTGGTAAGGTCATGCAAATACTTCTATTGCTGTTCCTAACTTGTCACAAAAAACAGCAACCATCAAGTTGGTGCCACTCATGTTCCAATTTCAAAACCCATTTCAAGCTTCACCAGAGCACTCAGCAGTCCACAGCTGGCATTATAATACTAGAGGAAACTATCCCTCCCTATTTTATACAATGCTGACTTTAATTTTCAAATGCAAGCTTGAATATATTCACAAATAATTCATCATACCCTATCTACCAAAAAAAAAAAAAGTTTAACTTGTAATTGGATATAGAACTTCTGTAATTATTACACAAGCATTTAAAACCAAATGCAAGTTTGTTAAGCTAAAGAAATTTATTAACTGGGAAACTCTCCTAAGCCCTAACAGAAAAATAACATGAGACAGTCTGAGAGTTATTTTTGCAGCTGTGACTAAGAACATTATATATCATGCACAGTGAAGTTAATTCAGGTGTTTTTCACTTCAAGGAGTTCCTTGTTTCAACATCTGCTGGCATTTCAATTCTACCTTCAGGATATTTCAGCTGTCAGTACATTTCTGCAAAGGATAAAGCCGTAACAATTCTGACAGGACAATCCTAAACATGAGTTGATAAACTTTTGTGAACTTTAGAAGCCACAATAGCCAAAGATACTGCATTTTACACTACATTAGATTAGAAATACCTTACCTTTTGATGGAAGCAGTATAATACACATAAGTAATAAAGAAAGTAAAAGGCATATAACCACACCAAAAACGATTTTTAGCCGGGTCTGCAGAACAGAAACAAACAATAATTACATTTTTAATATTGCCTGAAGTTTGCTTCCATGGCTAGTAAATAATGAAATCCCCCTTCTCTCTAACTGCTGTAATTGGTCCTAGCAACAAGCAAAAAAAGTCCCTGAAGTACATAAGAAAAGACTTCCCTTTCCTTCTTCTTTAAAGCAAACATTTTCACATTAGAGTCGGCCTTGTCTAGCAGCTGACAATTTAAAACAAATTATGTAAATGCTACCAAAAGTTGATTTCAGGAGCATACAGACCTTCATTTTCTTGTTGTATTCTAAAAGAATGCAAATTCTCTCTTCTGGGTGTTGGTCAGTAGATCTAGGAGAGGAGTTTGAAAAGGCAGTGTCTGTTTTCACAGTTGGAGGCCAAACCTCTGGCAGACTTCTTTTTTTTTCCTACATACTTTTGGAAACTCTGCCAAATTTCAAAGGCTTTCCATAAAATTGAAAACACACTTTTGGGGAAGTTCTTGGACCAGAAACGGACAGTGGGAGGCTATCGGGGTGGTGATTATGTACTTCCCATCAATGTGAGCTGTAACCAACATCTGCTCGCACTAACTTGAGGTTTTATGACTCACCAGATATTTGACATGCACTGTTTTTTGTTTTTTTTTTTTGAAAAGTATCTACTGTGTTTTTTTGGCAATCTCCACATTCTCAGGACATAGTCATGACCGTATTTCTACTCTCTGCAGAGAGAAGAAAATCCCATAGCTTTATTGCTTATGTGGCATTCACATGTTTACTTTTAGAAATAATAAATGATGGCACAAGAATGCAAAACAAGCAGCAGAAACAGTACTGTTTAATGTCTTCCACATGTGAGGAGAATTGCTGTTTTCCCCTGAAAACTATGCACATCTATAGGCTACGTAGGAGAGCTTACAGAAGTAGATACATACAAGCCCAGCGGAAATTCTGAAATAGTTCTCCAACCGCCAATTACACCTATTTTATTTAGCCCACTGAAATGAGGTCAGCTGAAAACGGGGAAAACTCTGGAGACCGCAGTGTCAGGTTACACAATCCATCCCTCAGGAGAGCGGAGAACGGCTGGGAAAAGGAAGAACGAGCCCGCCGTGCCCGGCTCCCGGCGCTCCCCGCACGGCGCGGCCGCCGTGACCCCGGCCCGGCCGGAGGGACCCGGCCCCGCGCCGCGCCCCCTGCCGGCACACCGCGCACACACACCGGCACGGGACAGGGACAGGGACACACAGGGACAGGGACAGGGACAGCGACACACACGGG